TCATGTATTTGACATGCGTCGGGGGCTAGGAAGTCTTGTTCTTGTGGTAGGCCTTTTGAATAATGTAGCCATTTACAATCGCCAAGTCGATCAACCCCAGGACGAGGGCTTGTAATACTTTCTGAATCGAAGCGTGCGTTGCAGCGAGTAGCGCTGCAATCGCAGCTGATCATGGACATCCACGCCGCCCATGAAGGCGTGATAGTCCTTCACAGCTCGACGATACGAGGCTTCGATCTGCTCTGCCCCATCCTGACGCGCACCACTCGGTCAATTTCGCTTCTTCCACCAGTACATAGTAAATGCACAGGACTAGAGTCCCACCAGCAAATAGTTTTCATGTTTGGCACTAGCTTAGACTTTGCGATCTTACAGGAGCCGCGCTGGATCGTTGGAGGGTTCGTTCTCCTCTTTTCGATCACTTGTTTGCAGTAGTCCAGCCGATTCGTCATAAATGTGCCGACACAGTGAAACCCCATCAACAGTAGCTGTCTAGCTAGTGCAAAGGACGTGTAGAAGCGGTCGATAACTATTAACCTCATGCCTTGCTTTCGTGCTTTAGGTCCAAATACATCTAACAAGTTGCGGACCACTGCAGCTGGTCCCGACTTCAGGTCTGGCGTGTGTGCGTCACTAGCGTGCTGTTTCTTGCCACAGCATACCTCAAAGCTGAATTAATGCAGTATTATAAAAAAGGTTAGCTTTCATAAACTACATAATTCATCATAAATCATTTTGGTAGCCAAAACCAAACTCACCGGATGCAGTACGCGGTGACTGCTCTGCACAGCATGAATTGTGTAGTCCCCCACTTATGAGGCTTGTCCTTCCTGTAGACTCGCATCTTGTTGAAGGATGAGCGACTTAGTAACATGGTCTCATCAAACGCCAAGTGCGAAGGCGCAACATATCCACTGGAATAAGCGTGCTGTAATGCCTCCACCACCTTCCGGATCTTCCATGCGCGGTCTGTTTGGGCACGAGGAACACTGTTTGGATTGAAGTGAAGATTACGTGAGATCTCTTTGAACCGGTCACGCGCGAGTACCGAACCAAAACGACCACGTGCGATAGCACCCACGTCTGTAGTCTTCCAATGGTTGGAGCGTTTCTCTCGATTTGGGGCAATGGTACGAGCCACTAGCAAGCCTATGAAACAGCAAAGCTCATGAGACATGATCGGCTTCATTGTCTCCATCTCGTGCTGTTTATCGCGTCGTGTTTTGTGTGGTAGCTCCGGTTTTAAACGTCTCTTCTTACGATAGCGTTGATACGCACTGTCAATACGGAGAGGCAGCATCTCTCGATGATACTCGTTTGCGATATGGCGCCAGAGAACCCCAGGCATGAAGTAGAAGAAGAGAGCAGCGGGAGAATCTCCATGTCGTAATGCTTCAGCTGAAGGGCCTGCATAGCCTTGTCGCAATCCGGGATAACTGTTTGCATTGTCCATATACTCATGCGGGGATATCATGTGTTCGAAAATATCAGGGTTCTCAAGCATCTTCCCAGCCCACCACATCCATGTCACGCAACCCACCGTTCTTCAGGTTCCCAGCAAGAACCTCATTTTCACCACCGAATCTCTCCAAAACGTCTTCTGCAAAGAGCACCTCGGCGGAAATCTCGATTTCAGTTTGCTCTGGATCGTCGACAAGGTCTTATGGTGCACAGCGACTGTTTACGTCGTCCTCAGAATTGCTTGCCCGTCTCAACGTCGTCATTCCCAGCTTCATCTCCAGACTCAATAGCACCGTACTGCGGATTGTTTTTACTGAAGCCAACCGAGTACAAGTTGTCAGTGTTGTCTGCCAGCAGCGCTGTGCCTCGCACACTCAGTTCTGCTTCATCTTCATCATCTACCGTATATATCGGGCTCAGCGCGACAGGTTTGAATGGCTCAAATCAAGTGAGTGTGAAAAACCTCATTAGGTTTTTTATTGAGGGGGTGTCGATGATATCCATCCAGCAGAAATCAACCGGCCACCATGCTACGAAGACCTAAGAACACGAATCGGACAAAGCTCAAAGTAAGATGCAGTTATAGGACGCAAATATGATACAGAACTAACGTTTATATACTTTATTTTGAAAGGGAGTGACAGCAGCCGAGACAGCCCCCGTATCAGCAGTGGCAGCGAGCTTGCCGATGCATCGCTCGACTGTGTATAGGTGAAAAAATAAAACGCGCCGCCTATCTTGCAGACAAAAAGATTGGAGGCAAGTGCTACGTTTTTTCGAGTGCCCACCAGGCATTACGTGTTCGCTCCCCTGAGTTAGATGCAAAGTATGTGCTCTTGCTGCTCTAAACCGCACTTTTTAATAAAAGCTAAGCCTCTGTGACCAGGTTACTATCCTACGTAGAAGCGATTCGCAAAAACCGCAAGTTATGTCTGACAACTTAGTGTTTAACGCTGATGATCGCTAAGTTTGACGGCGATTTGGCTGCTGCACGTCAATACACGGCTCTTCGCTTGTGGAGGGTGCGTTTCCTCAAGCGCAATCGTCTTGTAGTCCGCCGTATTACCCACAAAGGCACTAAGATTCGCAATGAAATGCAGGTGAGTTTGCTGTGAACTATTTGTATTTTTGCATGCAAGTTTTGTTCTCGATTAAGTTTGTGTTTTTTTGTATATAATGTCTGTTTTGTGTTTTGCTGCTAGGACGTTGCTGATGCTTTCGCTAATTCAGTCAATGTTGCTGTTGAAGAAGATGGCGTGTTACTTTTTCATGCGTCCTACAATACCAAATATGCCGGCTTGTTTAACATGGATCAGACTGCGGTTTGTATGGACAACCCCGGCCGGCTGACCATTGACTACTGCGGGGCTAAAACGTTGACGTTGCCCAAGGAACTGTGGCAAACGGCGGACGCTGTAGCGTTTTGTTTTGTGCGCACAGGGATCACTGGCTTGAGCCAACCCATGGACGTTAGCGTCATGAGGTCATTCATGGCTAAGATTCAGTATGTTTGAAGCATGAAAGTGTTTATTTTATTTTTTTACTGACCTAAATTTGTCGGAACAGAGATTTGTATGTGAAGTATCACATTGAACACCCTTTCCCATCAACGGCCGGTGATCGACGCGCGATGCTCTCCCACTTGGTCGGAAAGGCGTGGGTGAGCGCTAAACAGAGACGATTCTGAATGGATTTCGCAAGGCTAAGCTACTCCCAATTGGGCCTCGTGACGCCCTCGGTGCATTTAGGACGTACTTGCGCCCACTACCAGAAGACTCTGTTTTAGACGAAGTTGAGCCTGATAGCGAATACCCGTTTATGCATTTAAATGGTGATTTTAATTGTATGAATTATTACAGGTATGCGAAGGCGTGTCTCTCCTAAACGATTTGATGTTGCATTGGAATAGTTTGTCGCACTGGGGTCGATAAATACGGTACAAGCACGAAAGGTCAATAACGAGTTTATCTTGTATATGCAGCATATACACCAGCATAATAGAGTTTGATATGCGGAATACCGCTTCGTTTCTTACCAGATGCTATGGAGGCGTCGTCAATAACAACCGTCGCGCTGGAAACATCAGCGTCGTCACTTGCGTAGACGTCAGAAACTGAGGTGAAGTAGCGATAAGTGGAGACGCTGACCGCGGACGAGGCGGCAAGATCTCAATCGGACTTGGGTCAACTGCTAATGCTCGACGAGCACTCGACGGACGTGTTGGTGATATTGGTGCGTGCTGACATTCCTCACCGCGCGTAGCTGTAGCAAATATAGCAAAATATCAATCATTTTTACGTCATAACCTTCACTATAATATGCAGTATATCGTGCAGAATAATATTCAGCTTACCGGAGGGGACGTCTTCGTGAACCGAAGACACAATTTGCTCTGGGGGTGATGCTTGTTTCACAGAAGGTGTAGTGACTGAGCGTGTGTACATAATAAGCAAAAACACATGATTAGATTCAATAGCATATAAATAATGTGATTCAGTGTACCAGGGCCGCCCGTCGCATCTGTGTCTTGGTGAACAGGTGCAGCTAGTTCTTGGGTAGCCCCGGCTTCGATGTCCCTAAGGTAGTTCTGGCGAACAACCTGCTGGGCAGCCGCGAGCTGAGCATTACCGGGGGCGGTCGACCTAGCGCCAGCTGAACCAGTAGTCGGTGCGGATCCACGAGCGCGGCTTCGAAGCACTATGTTGAACATCTTGTCAGTACATCTAGAAATTATTAATTTATGGTTCACGTACCGTTAGCGTAGCACTCGAGTAGAGTTTTCTCACCCAGGAAGTAGTCGATGCCGAGAGTTCCTTCCGTGTGGCCGTGGGGTCGAATATACTTATATCTATCGTCCAGGCTTCGCCGTGATGGTGGTTTGCGTGTCTACCGGATTCCTCTGAGCTCGCGCCACACCGACTTGAATGACAAGTCACGTGCAGTGACTTCGCTGTTCCGCGGTACCGTTTTTCTCGTCTTCACCATTTTGGGATTCACTTGATCTCTGACGCCGCAAATTCTCGAATGAGGGATATTTTGAAATGGCGGAGGTTCTGAGAGCCACTTAATTGGTAGGTACGTATTATGAAATGATACACATCAGTTACAGCCAATTTTTAGGTTTTTGAAAAGTAGCTAGTCTTAAACTGAATATATTCAGCTTAAGCGATTTTTTACTTTAAATTTGAATTGGTGCTTTCCCCCGACACGTCAGCATACAAACACTAAGATAAAAATATGTTTTTGTTTCTGTTCTCGCATTTTTACACTCTTTCAAACAAACACCAACAAATCTAAGCTGCAATATGCAGTATCCGGTCTGGAGGGGTTATTAATAAAACCCTTTTTTAGCAAACCATAAATCTAAAAAGGCGCTAAAAAAATAAATATTAGTTTAAATAGTCTGAATTATCCATACAAGAGTGTAAGTTATTCGATTGATGATTAAGCTGGGAGTTCAGGCATAACTTAGGCAGCCTGCCCCTAGGAGGCGGACACTAACGTTTATATAGAATGTATGAAAACTTGCGAGTTTATTTCTACACGGCGTTGTAGCCGGCACGACGGCTCTCTTTCTTAGCGAAAGCCAACATACCAGCACCTAGCACTGCGCCCATGATAACCCACGCGATAGCGATAGGAAAGCTTTGGCTCCCCACCTCAACGCTGTTAGCCACAGCTGCCTGACTGACGAAGCCCTGAGCAGTCACGCTGTCGACGCCTACGAGTTGTTTGCGCATGCTGGCCTTGGGCTTGAACGTGTCACCTGGCCACTTTGCGAACTCACTGGCCTGCAGCCACCAAGCAGGGTATCCAATGGATACCTGCTGCTCTGGCGCCTCACCTGTCGTCATGTAGCCATCACTGTATTTGGCAATCAGCGTCCAGGCAAGCTGCCACCACTCGCTCACCACCTGCTCCGCAAACTCGTTACTTCTGCTTTCGACGCGAGCCACTAGCTCAGTCTTCGAGCGTCGTGTGTCGTGCTCTTCCTTCTCCATGTTCTTACGCAGAGAGAAGGCAGCTTTCTGCAACAAGTCGATCTTACCGTGGATGTCGATTCTCATGGCGTTGTACCGTAGTAGACTCCAGTTGTTGACGAAGTTGAAGGCCCACCAAGCAGACTGTGGGTGGAACTTGCTCTGTCGGCCCAGTAAATACGACTCCGGGACAGATTCCTGCGCGCAGGAGAACGGAACGAAGACAGAGCCGTGTGGGGCGTCTTGTGCGTACCAAGCGACACCACCTATAGCATCGAATCCCGTATCGCTACGACTCTGAAGGACAAATGCAAATAGCGTACGGTACATGGAGATCGGGCGTTCCCAGCCGCCAACGACACCACCAGCGCTACCTGACCACCGTACAGGTGCTCCGAACGGCCCAGCAGCTAAACCCTTACTCATATCGTAGCTCGTTCCTTCGTAGTGATCCCGTAGCAAGTCCATAATCTGATGAGTCTTTACATGCCAATCAGGTTTGATGGAAAACGGGTAGGTCGCGTACTGCGAGAAGCTACCAAGACGCGCATCGAGTTGCAGTGACGGAGCCAGAACGTCAAACACACGCCACACACGACGACCGGTGTAGAGCGGACCTATTGCATCCTTATCAGCGAAGCCATAGGCGGCTGTGAAGTCGAATGGCTTGTCACCTTTAGCATCCCACCAGCCCATTTCCTCGGCAAGCGAAAGCACATTAGCCGATGCCATAAACCAATCAGGCTGGCTTAAGTCGATCTCACGAATGATGAATCCATTGGCAACGACAGTCACGTGGCCATCGGGTACACGTTGCGCCGCCCACACAGCACCAGCGTTGTCTTTACCGGTCATTACGTGGAAGACCCATACCTCCCCAAGCTTGTCGCCCACCACAAGAGCCTCGGCCGAGTCGCCATAGTCCGGCTTTGCCATCTCACCGCTATCTTCGCTGTAGAAACCGTACTTCTCAGCTAAAGTGCCCATAGTGTCGACGGCGCAGCGTGCAGTCGCACAGCGTTCTAACGCCACCTTTGTGAGCTCAGCAATACCGAAGAGATTCTTACCGCCAGACACATTCAATGGCCAACCGACCGTCTTAGCGCCACATGTGCTTTCACCGATACTAAGCTGTACTTCGTTCATCATGCCGTAATCCTGATCAAAGTACGCGTACGTGTGATCCACTTGCGGGATGTAACCCAGAGGCATCGAGTATTCCTGAGTCTTGCCAACCTCTGGGTCCTTGACAGGCTGGTAGTGGACTCCGCGGTCCGGCACCACCACTCTTGGATACCCACCGTTGAAGTTGTAGACGGCACGCTTGCTACCCGCCTCATGATCTTGAGCGGGAACACGCACAAGACGCAGATCTGCAGCACCGCCACCAGCATCGTCTGTGTGAGCAATCAACGTCGAATTATCAGCACTTGCGCCTCTCGTAACAGCAATAGCTGTGCACGCATCGACGTGTGTCGGCTGCATTGCTACCAACGCAAGTGCGAGGACAGCTTCGCAGAATTGAGACCGGAAAAGCTTCATTGTAGGAGCAGACGGAGGCTACGACTTGTGTGTCCTCGACGTTGACGGTCCAGGTAATAAGGGAGAATGAGAGCACTATGCCTCAAAGCACCAGAGACCTCGAAACGGACCGGGCTCTAGCCATCAATGCTTGAAAGTCTGCGATTGGACTGAACTAGACTCTTACAGCTTCGCATTCGCTTCAACGTCAATACCAACGTCTCTTCACTTATTATTGGCAGGTCAACAACTCTGGGTCCAGAAATATTACACACCAACATTTTTCATGTTCCTGTGGGGACTTCTCTTTCTCTTTAGTGCTGGCCGTTTTGGCTATTAGTATCGATTGGTCGCTGAAGCGGCAATTCGTGTGACGTGGCACGGGACGTTGCAATGAACATGACGCGACTATTAAGACTTTTTGGTGAGCGAACGAAGTGCAGTCGCACTGAAAGGCTAAACTTACAACTATTAACAGAACTAAACAGCTATCGCTCTAATTGCGGCGCATGCGACGGGAGCACTTACCTCCGTCAGCCTCGCCACCAACCTCTTTCTTGACAGTAGCGGGCTCAGGGGTAACGGGCTTAGTAGCGATCTGGGGCTTCGGAGTAGCCGCAGTCGCAGGAGCCGTAGACGTAGACGTAGTCTTTGCGGCCGCTGACGAGCGCGCAGCTGAAATACTGTCACCGCTTGCACCGCTTCCAGGGACGATGATGTCTGCACAAGTCTGGTACGTTTGCTCTGCCATTTTAGAGTACCAAAAGAACTGCAGAACGCAGTCACCGGCCTTCTCGCAACCCTTAATGTCAGCGGGCATCTTCGCTGCAGTATTGCCGTCGCCACCGTTCTCTCCAAACGGCTTAACGGTTAGCAGCGTTTTGTAACTCTTGTAGGTGATGACACCCTTGGCGTTTTCGGTGGGCTTGAGGATGCTCAGCTTCATGTAGCCTGGGTGAGGCGCTGAAATTGTCCATTTGTCATTGAAGTCTTCACCACGGTGACGTTGCTACCCTCCTCGTACACAGTACCGCGGCCCGTTCATGATGTTGAATGCTGGCGCCGGCGGGTAGTCGATCTGTTTTTTCTGCGAGATAAGCTCGATCTGGAGCTCACGGATGCCACGTTGATGAGCACGCCTCCGTCCTTACGATACTTCTCCGACATGTGTCTATAGGTTGGGTAAAGCATTTGGCCATGCCCTTCAGCTCCAGCGAACAAGAGAGCGACAACGGCTGCAAGGGAGGCAATGATACCGGTAGCTGACGGCATTGCTTTTGGTTTTCGATGTCAATTTGCGGAATGAGGAGCTGAAACGATGATGATAATCTACTGATTTTCAGGTGTCAATGGCCAACGTTGTTGCTGTAATGAGCTCTTACCGATCAGACTAATTCATACTGTAGAAAAGGCATAGGATAGAGTGAATTAGACAAACATTTTCAGAACAGAAATAATACAAGAAAACGTTTAAGTGTCTTGCAAAAAAATCAAGAAACAGGTCACACAACACAGCAACTTCAACAATTTAATGTCTGAAGTACATTATTAGGACATAGCGTACAGTACTGCACCCCGTTTTCGCTGGGTGGACCATATAGGATTTGCAAATAAATCAGATTTTAACAAATACATTATAGGTCATATGGATTCAGGATCATCACATCCGGAAGTTTATCAAAGGTCCAAGGGCGCGAAAACGGGGTGTAATACTGTATACGGTATCGGACATTCATGTTATTTCATTCCAGTTGCTTTAGGGGATCAGATATTCCTTCTTGAGCGCGGTCGTTAACTCCCAAGGACACTAAAAAAAACTCCACAATGTGCCCGATCAGTCCACAGAAATGGGCGTAATCCACAAAGATGGTACTCAAATGACCAAGCTGCGAGTCGCCTCTGCAATTGACTCGATAGGCGGCAGTATGGCAGACGTTAACAACATCTCGAGCTCGAGTAACGCAGCCGCTGTCTGCGGAGAGTACGAGCTCAGACTCGTCCTCTATTTTCTCGGCTGAGCCCATCGCAGTCTCTTGGAAGCTGCACTCGATCTGTCTGGCCGGACAGGAAGGAAAAGTAGAAGGGAATAAATTAGTTGCTTAAGTTCTCTCACCAAACTCTCACAACCAGTAAAGGACCTGTGTCCTCCCTCATGCAGAAGCCCACGTCTCTCTGCTTCTCAGCGACTTGGTCCAACCCCCGTTGACCAGGTCTCACATTGAACTCAGCTTCGACATCGGGTCTTCGATATGCAATCCAACACGCCTTCTTAGAAGCATAAGCTTTGATCTTCACGTTGCAGCTCTCGGCGCGATGGAGGATTGGTTGGCACCCACGCCCACAAGCTCCAACAAAGCCTTCAGCTTGTTCCTGTCCAGGGGCTTGGTAAACGCATCAGCCGGGTTCTCGTCACCTTTGATCTTGTAGAGATCCACAACTCCCTTCTGCACTTGTTCTCGAACAAAGTGCCAGCGATGTTCAATGTGTCGGGTTCGACGGCTGTATTATGGATTGGTTGCCAACACGTGTGCTGCTTGGTTATCAATTTCAAGCCTCGGTTTCACATCTTGATGTTGCAGTAGTTCTTGCAATACGTTGCTTGCTGTGGTTGCCTCCATCGTGGCTTCGCACGCTGCCACGTATTCGGCTTCAGCCGTAGAGAGAGCTACAATGGATTGTCGGCGAGACATCCACGAGACTGCACCACCATCAAGTGTAAATACAAACCCTGTTGTACTTTTCCTCGACTCTGGGTCGTTCGCCCAGTCGCTGTCACAGTAGCCATTCAGTACAACCGTACTTGGCATCTCCGTCGAGTACTCATACGTAATACCGTAGTCAACAGTTCCAGCAATTTAACGAAGCACACGTTTCAGTGCTCCAACATGCTTCGCTGACGGTTTGGCTACGAATCGACTTAATTGGCCAATCACAAACGCTAGATCTGGGCGTGTTCCAGTAGCTAAGTACATCATCATGCCAATCGCTCTTCTGTAGTCAAAGCTGGTATCCGTCTGTTGATCCTTGTCCAATGGTACCAAACGCATATTGGTCTCCATAGGATTACCCACAGCGTGCGCGTTGTTGAAGCCGAAAGTCTCCAACACATCATTCGCGTGCTTGCTCTGCTTGACAGTTATCCCGCTGTTGCTTTGATCCACCTCGATTCCTCGATATTCCTTCAAGAGACCTTGGTCCTTGATCCCGTACTCATCATCGAGATCTTCAAACAGCTTTTGTTTGCTCTCCTCATCATTAGTGGCCACCATGATGTCGTCAACGTAGACTAACTGCAGCGGGGCTGCCGTAGCTTTAGCGTCAGAGGAAGACGTTCGACTCAAAGAGTCACTAATACTAAGCTCCTTATCCAAAGAACACTTACAGCCCAAGACCAGGGCTCAAAGTTAACACCTTAACTTTTATGCTTCAAAACCAGAAGTGATTTATTTACTATTATTGCGGCCAAGCCGCCTAGGGGTAAATGTATCTCTTTAACTATCTAGCATAGTTAAACCTAATCAAATGCATAACGTGTGGCTTTCAGCCAACGTACTGAGAGACCTTGTTAACTCTCCAACTTATGTACTGAGAGTTTGTTAACTCGCCGGGTACTTCGTACCCCTGTGTGTTCCACACCATGTAACCCCGTTACACTAACACTAACATGATAACATCGTTCCTGAACTTGTAGTATAGGCACGGCTCAGTCAATGAGCGTTGATACCCATGCTCCATCAGCCAACGGTTTAACTCCGTGCTCCACTCTCTCCCCGATTGCCTTAGGCCATACAGTGCCTTCACCACTACGTACACATGCCCCTCCTTACACGGGAAGCCAGCAATTGAACGCAAATACTGACGAATTCCTAGCATTGCATTCAAGTACGCAGTGTTAATATCACCGCCATACAATACGAGATGTAATGCTGCTGCCAATGCCACTACCATCCGAAAGGACGACATTCGCGCAACTGGCGCAAACGTCTCTGAGAAGTCAATTCCCGGTCGTTGGTGGTTTCCAAAGGCCACAATCCGTGATTTAAAGCGAATCACATATCCCTGTCGATCCGTTTTCACTGAGCGTACCCATCGCGTATTAATAGGCTTTGCGCTCTCTGGCACGTCCTCATACGGGATCTCCATGATAACGCCTTTAGCACGCAGCGCACTCATCTCTTCCATGTCTGGCTGCAGCCAGAACTCTCGATACTTTGATCGATTCATCTCCCGATTGTTCCTTGGAATTGAAACAGAGCTCGCATGAATGGCCTTACCATTCTTGTCCAAAATGCGCTCCGTCCGTTGGGCAACATTGATGATATAGTCGTCGAGATAGCGGGGTCGTCGTCGCTTACTGTATTCGCGAAGTCCAGTTCGTGTTTTCTTAGGTCCTAGTTTTTCAGCCCTTGCTCCACTCGCAATAGCTCCGAATCGGTTTCATCACGATGACTTCGCTTGCCAACCTTAGCGATAGGTAGTGCAGTATTCTCGACACCCATCTGGTCCTGTTCAAGTATTTCCTTAACTTTCTCGTCCAGATCATAGTCTTCGATGCACTCATGTGTGTGACTCGACTCTGAGCCACAGACACTCATCACAGAAAAGCATTCATCACTTTCCGTCAGATCGACCGGGTGACCGTCCACCAATACATCATGTTGGTCATCGTCCTCCAATCCTATTGTCGATCTATCCTTTCGCAAACACGATTGTTGCTCATTTCCGATATCCGACTCGATATCCCCAGCAAACGCTGTGTCTTCGCCCACATCCTCAGTGTCTAGTCCGAACTGAATAGTCGAATGCACCACTGAGGTTTCGTGCCCACTGGTCCGCTGCGTCTCCATTTCACCAGCGGGTAGAGTCTCCTCAATATCCACCACATCACCTACTTCAGTTGGTATCGCTGTGCTCACTCCACCAACATCAGTTGCGGGCTCCAGAGTTTAACTCCACGGTAATCTGCGATGTTTCCTCAGATCCAACCTCGTGCGTACCAGATCTAACCTCGTGGTGTGTAC